TTTACAACGAAGTCGCGAATCGCTGGAGCGATTGCATTAAGGTCAAACATGCGGGGCCTTCCCCTGCTATTCGGAACAGGCTTTAGAACTACAGCACCAAAATATTATATGTTAAAGTTAATTGATATGTAACTGTTAAATATCAAATGCATAAAGATCTACCTCAAAGTCGGTTTTCTGATTCGCGTTGTACACTGCAATTACGCGTGCTACCGTGTCCGTTGAACAGCCAAGGCACTCAGCAACAAGTTTTCTTGTGCGCTTTCCGCTTAATAGCCCTTGTTCTTTCTGTAGGGCGAAAAAGGTGTAGCTCCTCACGATCATTTTCTTTTCAACACAACACCATTTCAGATTCGTTCTCCCTATCCCCGGGTTTCTATACAACCACCCCGGGTCCGACCTGTGCATAGTGGCGGGCAAACCCCAGTTCAAAATAACCAGACCCCGGATTCAAAATACACAGTGCGCCTTTATTATTATTTTTTTCATTTTTTTTCGGAGATGAATTATCAACTTTTGTCAATTTCGAGAAGCTTCGAGAATGCCGACTCGGCACGCAATCTCTAACAGCTTCTTGCGCTCACTTTGCTTTATGCAGAATGGGTAAGACATACCCAGAAGATATTCGCACAACATCGCGACAATAACTATCGCAACAACCCCGAAAACAAGCTGAAAAGGCAAGAATTTGCTGTCAAGTTGCTGCAATACTTGGCAGCAGACAAGAAGATCGTGTATCTGGACGAAACAAACTTTAACTTGTGGATTAGTCGGAGCCAAGGATGGAGTGTTCAAGGAACTCGAGCGGTTGACCTGAACACGTGCAGCAAAGGCAGCAATATTCATGTTATCGCCTGCATTTCGCGGGATGGAATCGAGTTTTCTGAAGGGCGGTTTGGGTCGTCTAAATGAGAAGCTGCAAACGACTTTATTCGGAGGATTCTAAGCTGCCTAGCTGGACGCGAGGCGCTCGATAATGTCGTCGTCATGGTGGACAACGCTCCGTGCCACAGTCGGGCCGAAGAAGTGTTTGATGAGGAAGAGTTTGCGAGTGTGGAATGCCTGCGACTCGGACCATATTCGCCTATGCTGAACGGTGTTGAGAACGTATTTTCAGTGTTCAAGGCTGCGGTGAAGCGATACATGGCGGCAAACCGCCGAAACATTCTCGAAGTTCCTGAAAGCTCAACCATCGCAGCTCATCGCTTGACGGTTTTGCTACATGCAGCAAACACCATTTCCCGCGAAGTCGTCACATCCGAGCTTTGCCGTAAGTGCATTTATCACACCTTCGAGTTTCTTGCAGATGCTATCCTACTGAAAGACATGGCCGTGGGAAATTGACAAAAGTTGATAATT